CAGAAAATGGGTTTCCAGTAGGAAAATAGTAGAGGTGACTTCACATACGCGCTGTGGATCTCAGGCCAGGGCCCAGGCTCAGAGTGCAATACTGCCCTTGGCCATGGGGTGAGAGGCGAGGGCAGAGAATCTGCCTGCTTCTGCAGGGATAACCACCCATCAGCTTCCTCCCCAGCCCAGACAGGAGCTCTTCACTTCCACCAGTCACTCCTGTTCCCTCTGGCCACGGCAAGGGCTGCTCAAGTGGGATTTACTTAAAACCTCTTGCTGTAAAATAAATCCATTAAACTAAACTCTAAAAACAAACCCAGAAAGCCACCTCCCCAAACGCCAAACCTGATTCAATTATTGTAGCGAGAGGCAGTGGTAATGTTAGGAGGAGGAGGGGGTGGCCAGGCAGATCTAGTTTCCTTTGATCTTGTCACAGATTTTAGTTTGAGGCCAGCCAAAGCCATTCTTCTCCCCTTCTCCTTAGTCCTGGGGCAGCAGAATGCTGCTGTTTCATTGATGACTCCCAAGGCCTTTTGAAACAGTGGGTTTTTTTCTGTGTACTGCTTTTTTTTCTTTTTTTTCTTTTTTTTTTTTTTTTTTGTCTAATCGGTAAGAAGTTAACACTTCCTTAACATGTCTTTGTGTTCATCTAATCTCTGCTGTTTAACCTTTGACATCTCCCTTATTATCCATGTCTGCCACCTTTTCCAAATACCGACAGCAGTGACAACACAGAACGGTTTGAGCCCTGCGGTAACAAGCTGCACACATTCTTCCCGCTGCAGCAGGAGAGCCATTTGCCCTTTGTAGCTGTTTGCACCGTGACTTGGAAAATAAACTGCAATTTGGGCAGAGGTAGCTACAGAGGCCAAGCCTCACACACAGCCAGATGTATGGAGGAGAACCCCTCATGGTATGACAGCAGCTGCTGCCTGTTCCTGCTCTGGGCACCTCAGTGCCTGCTGCAGGCCAGTTCCTTGGGGAGGATTGCCCACTGGAGTGCTGGAAAAGACTAAGAACCCAACTATGGCTCTAGGTGGGCACAGGATCACCAACTAGTGTATTTGGTGCAGCCCCAGAGAGAAGCAGCAGACGCAGGGCTTCCATGCCATGGAAGAAAGGTCTCAAGCAAACACAGACAAGGTTCTGGTCCCAAAGTCTTAGGAAATCTCTTAGCTGCCTAGACAGCTTATAACCCCTAAGTTCTACCTGAAATATATCCCCTTTCCTTCATACTGAGCAACGCCCGAGGTTTGATTGGTGGAAAACACAAGCTGGCTAGGGAGCAGGCAAAAACCTCTCTGTCCTCTTCTCAGATGTGAGAGGTGAGTGGGAGACTGGGCTGGAGACCAGGGAAAGAACACCTAGAGGAGCTGGGAATGCAGAGGAGCACCAGAGCCACCATGGCAGCTGCATGGAGATGCTGCAGAGGAGAGGCTCAGGTGACTGTGGGCAGCTACACCTGGAGCTCTGTGCCCAGGGGTATGCCCAAGCACCATTGTGCCACCAAAGCTGGAGGTGATCCAGGAGGCAGAGCAGAAGCAAGCAACAGGCCAAGAAGTTGGGTTTAGGAAGGACTGCAACACAAAATGGTGCATCACTCAGGGAAGTAAGTCACAGGGTACAGGGGCTTTGGCAGCTGTTTTGACAAGAGCTAATGGGAGCTGGAGCTTAGACAGAAGGAGAGGTGGTGAGCAGGGATGAAGGGACCTTTCTCAGTAGGGCCGAGTACTCTGTCCCTAACCATGTCTGGCACTGCTCAAGGGCAAGCTGGAGGGACCGATCCTGCTTTCACACACCAAAGCCCTTCAGGACTTTGCCAGCACTGATTTCCAGTTTGGAGGGTTTGTTTCCAGTGCTCCTGCCAGTCTGGGGGCACCAGCAGCCACATAGTATGGCACAGTGTCCTCCTGCCAACCCCGAGAGGTCTGTTGTCCACATCTACACCTTACAGAGCAGCACTGCATAGCTCAGCACCACTATCAGGGGAAGGGGAACCCCCCTTCATTACTTCTGTCTCCTCTCTCATCTGAAGGTACTACAAGAAGTTCTCTATTCCTGACCTGGACCGATACCAGCTCCCCCTGGACGCAGCTGCACTGAGCTTCACCCACGCCAACAACACCCTTATCATCACGGTGAGATTTTAGCCACGTAGAACAGCACTTTGCCCTTCTCTTTATGTCCACAAAGAAGTTAAAATTCTTACATGTGGGGAAACGACACAGGGAGATCTGCTGAGGGTCACTGATGAGCCCCCTTCTCTGTCACACAGTCAGTGGGAGTTTCAGATGACACTAGGCATGCTGACACTAGCCAGGACAGCCCAGGCCGCAGGAGGGGCCCTGCTTGCTGCTCAAGGTGACTTGCAGGTGGAAGAGTCCATCGTGTCCCATTTTCCATGTATCCCTCCCTCAGACCTGAGCAAGCCTCCACTCTCAGTGACAGCAAGTTTCTCTTGCCTCAGAGTGTGTTAAGAGTCCAAGAACCTGCTACACTTAGAGGTGCCTCGCAGTCTTGGGGCGGGGGGACAGAAATAAATCATCTGCTGCTTTGTGTCAGGATACACAGAGAGGGCACGCTTCCACACACGTGGTGGAAGTGAGAGTAGAAAACAGGCATGCACTTCTTGTTGCAAGGAGCAGACAGAAGCAGGCAGATGCTTTTGAGCAGCAGGTGTGCTCATCTTAAATGCAGAAGCTACCCAGAGAGCATGCTCTCCAAGGGAAACCTTGCAGCAGAGCTGGGGTACACACGCAGAGGAAACAGGCCAAGAAAAGCACCTTGAGTCCTTCTGAGCTTCTGTCTGCTACAAGCCAAACCTGTGCCAAAAAAGCACCTGCATCCTCCACTAAACTGCAGCAGGGCAAGGGGGCTCTGAGGGGAGGACAGAGGAACTGCAACTCTTACTTCTCAGATGTCTGCCTTTTAAAAAATGTGTATTTTATATAACACATGTGAGCATACCATCAGCGAGCACACCAGGGAACTGTATGACACAGCTTGCCAGGATATTCCAGAGGGGTTGGTGCGGGCCAGGACTCCACATCCAACTGGAAAGTTTTACTTGTACTGTAAAAGAGACTCCAGATCTTGGCAAATGTCCCTAGTGTGGTGGTACCACCTCTCCAAACAGGCTTCAGAGGCAGCTGATTACAGAAAAGCCTCCCTGGGCAGGAGGGCCCAGCTGCACTGGCAGCACCCAGCCCCAGTTGGTCTGCTCGGAGCAGTGGCTGAACAGGAGTTCTAAGGGCATTTCTCTCTGTCCTACAGTACCAGAAGCCGAAGGAGATCCTGGCAGCAGAAGAGCAGCTGCAGAAGGAGCTGAAGAAGATAAAGGCAGCAAACAGTGGGGATGGCGACTGTAAAACCCAGTAGGCAGTGGCTGCTAAGAGGCTGAGGACAGCTGTCTGCCTCAGCTTCATGGTATTTATTTTGCCTTTTCTAATAAAAATTAGTCCTGTTGTTAGTAGAGCTGTTTGGAGAAATTGTTGCAGGCCCAGGGAGAAGGCAGGGCGGTCAATTTCTTTACTGATGTACATTTACAATCTTTCTAAGAGTTGTGGGAAGCTGCAGCACGCAAAGGAAATGCACCAGCATCCACAGCCAGCAGCCCTCTCCCCATCCTCCGTCAACAGAAGAGACATGAAAGCTGGGTAGTTCCCCTTGGGAATTCCCTCTCTGCCACCATCATGGAAGGCAGTAATGTTTGGAAAACAAGAACCCCTTCCTTGCACCCCTTACCTTCCTGGGATGTGCTTGGAAGCAACTCCCTCCTGCGCTGGTGTGCAAGGTCCTCTGTGCAGTTAGAATGATGTTCTGGAGACCCTGGTGTCTCTGCAAACAGCATCACTGCTTAGACCTGAATGGTCACAGCCTATGAAATAGGGTGATGAGGAGGACACCCAACGGCTTCCTTACCACCAGCCACGTGTGACGTGACGTGTGGAACACAGGCAGCTGTGCAGAGCTCAGGAACTGAAATGCAGCTGCCTTCATTTGCATGGCATGGAGGAGAGCAGTGACAGGGGCCGCTGGCCAGCTCAGGAGTAGCAGTTGCACACCCCTTCCATGGGGGCACAAACATGTCCCATCACAAACCTCGCTGCACAGACAGCACCCCATGCACAGGGACAGCCCCAGCAGTGCTGCTTTAGCAACTAGCCCTCCAACCAGCTCCTGTCTACCCTGCACCATCCTTCCCTTCCACACGCCAGCGCTGGCATCACCATAGGGCTCCAGCTCTGCTTCAGCCAGGAAGAACCTGAAAGCAGCTACAAGAGTGCAGGACCCACCAACGTGGCTGCAGAAAAGAAATGGCAGGACTGGCAGCAGCAGAGTTGCAGGTGGGACTGTCATGGGAGGAGTTTCCTGCACCAGTGATACTTGTTCACCTGCTCAGCTGACACGCTCACTCCTACTCTGGGCCTTACCCAAGTCCCACTGCAATAAAGAACATCTCATCCCACCCCACAGTTACTCCAGTTCCTTCACAGCCTCTCCCTGGAGACATTGCCAAAGACATTTAATATTTCCATCCTACCCAATTTCATTAAAGGACCTGTAACACATCGGGGCTTGAGAAAAATGAGACCTGCCCCACTGCTAGCTCTCTCTCTGGTCTCCCATCTCATGCCTAACCACTTACCTAGAGCTCTCCCCACATGCAGAGCCCAAAGTGCTCCAAGCAATACAGCAGCAGTATTTAGCAGCTCCTGAGGCAAAGCACCATCTTTTCAGCAACAGCTCAGTGTTACCAATAACCCAGAGGTTTCCCCCAGAATCACTGCCCTGGGCTAGCAGTCTTTGGGGTCGACAGCTTTGAGCTGATGGAAGATTGTTCCAGCCATGGCATCTTTTTACAGCAGTAGATGATTGCTTGGGCACACTTAGACATCAACTCTGCCACTTACACAATGAGGATATGTGGCACCACAGTAGCTACAAGGGAGCTGGCAGCAAGGAGGCGTGAGTGGCACCAGAGGAACAGGCAGACCAGGAACTGTGACCCAGGGAGCTGTGCTGGAAAGATCCTCATGACAACATGATCTTGCAGCAAAGCCAGGTTTTTAAATTGCTTCGAACCCTGAGCTGCTGTCTCACACCCACTGGGAATGGAGGGCTGCCTTCAAGCAGGTGAGGAGCTGGTTGGTTCCACTCCCTCCCTGCCTAGGCAGGGGCTCCAGCAAACACCCTCTTCCAATTTTTATGCATCACAAGGGAAGAGCAGCCTCTTTACAGTGGAAATTACCTATTCAGTTCTAACAAAGCACCACACTAGGTGCTTCGCCCTAGAAGTGCTCCCAGTTTGTGAAAAATCTCTCCTTTACCTATCCAGGATACCTGAACGCGCAGCCAAGTAGGGTTCACACACCTTCCTCCTCAAGGAAGACCAGACACTGCTGCATTCACCCACAGCCATCCACGTTCATCTGGACAGCACAGAGCACACTGAAAGATATGTTTTTTCTGAGATGCAGCTCAGGTTCAGAAGTCTGACACAAAAAGGAGCGGAGCCTACTTAGACCTGCCTATGGGATCCCAGTAAATCACATGAAGGCTTTGGTGCTCACACTAGTCCAGTTTGCTGCTTCACTATGCAGGCAGCAAGCATGCCCAAGGAAGTTGTGGATGCCCCCTCCCTGTAAGTGTTTAAGGCCAGGCTGGATGAGGCTTTGAGCAACCTGATCTAGTGGAAGGTGTCCCTGCTGATGGCAGAGGGATTGGAACTGGATGATCTTTAAGGTCCCTTCCAATCCAAACCATTCTATGATTCTATGTTCCAGGTCCTGTGCTTTGAATTCCCGTTTGAAAAAGTGACACGAGATCCAAGATCCCAAGAACTGCCTTCAATGCAGCAGTGTGTTTCCATGGGTCTAGCCAGGGAGAGAGATCTAGTAGACATCTAGACAGCATGTGAAAATAGGCCCGACCTCCTCCACCCAGCCAGGCCTCTGTGATCAGCGGTTAACATGGCAGCCCCTTTGGAACTTGAAACAAAACAGACAGTCTCTTTTGTTTCCCTTCAGATTTTTATTTAGCAAAACGCGACTGTTTCAGCCCTGCCAAGTGCACAGCCTGACCTGATGGCCAGCTTGGGGAGGTGTACACTGAAAGCAGGGCTGGCTCTGCCTTTTAGCTTAATTCTTGCTCTTGGCTGCAAAGGACAACACAAGCAGCTGTCAGGAGAGCAAGCGCAGGTGAAGGTGGGCGCTGCTCCAGGCACCTTTCCCTTCCACCAAATCAGGCCACCCCACACACAGCCTAGACTTGCTTCACATGGCTCAGAGCTTGGCTGAGCTCAACCTGACCAGCACACACAGCCAACAGGGCATCCCAGTTCAAGTTGCCTCTCAAATGCTGTAACCACAGGAAAAGAAAAAAAAAAAAGGAAAAAGAACACATTTAATAAAACAAACTCTGACTTGTATGAAATAAAAAGGGCAAAGGACAATTGGCCTTTTTTCCACTACCAGGCAGGTGAGAGGTTGAGAAAGCCTGGCCCTTTGTGCACTCTTCATTGTAGCTTTCTGGCAGGCAAAAAAAATCCCTTCAGAAGCCTTGGGGGCCATTCTCGCCTCTCCTGCCCTGCAGTTCCCTGAGCCAAGTGTCAACTCTGCTGAGCTGGGGTGACCAGAAGCAGCTGTGGTGCCCTTCACGGGGCTGTGAAGTCTAGGACGTGCAGGGCAGATGCCAGGGCAGCGTACAGATGGGTGGTACTGAAACGGAGGCAGTACACTGGGCTGCTGGTGGGTGAAGACAGGTGAAAGCTCTGCAAGAAAATAAGAGAATCAACCTTCCAAAGAAGAGTTCAGCCCAAAGACCCCAACCAGTGTTACAGACCAAAAGGTTGAGATGCCTGAGCAAAGCGGGCTTTTCCCTGCGTATAGGTCAGGTTCCCCATGATGGGCTCACCCCAAAGACAGCCCAGCAGCCCCCCTCTCTTCCTTCAGAGACATGGGCACTGGACTGCCAGAGAGCAACTCAGCAGCTCTGCTGCTGCCCAGCCTCCAGCTGGCCCTCACCTGCAGGCACCGAGTCTGCCGCTTATCCCACAGGCGCACCACGCCGTAGTAAGAAGAGCCGCTGGCAATCATATGGTTCTTATCACTCCTTATGCAGTACAGGGCGCTGTCATGGGGCTCCTCCCACTCCTGGACACACTTCCTGCAAGGGCAACACAAACCAGAGTGGGGCTGAGCTTCCACTTCTCCACCAATGGATCTGAGGCCCAATTTGCCTGAAGGTCCCCAGAGCCTGCACAGAGAGCCCAGGAGCCTCACGCAGGCCCCAGATGGGCAGGCTCACCTGGTGCTGGTCCGTATGTCCCAGTAGCGGATGTAGGTGTCATACCCACAAGAAAGGAGAAGGGAGGGCGTTTCATAGAAGACATCAAGGACTCCAGCTCCATGGTGGAAGTCAGTCCCTAAGCAGGTCAACAGCTGACCACTGCAATGAAACACAACAGGAGAAGGATCATTCAGAGCAAAGCACCCTTCCAATTCAGCTGGCCAGAGCAGAGATGGTGTCACAGAAGTCTCCTCATTTCTGTGATTTAACAGAATGGAAATGTCTGCACAGTTTTCCTTTCCCTCCCCCGGTTTCTGCTACTGATTGGGCCACTAACTGTTACGAGGGTGACCAGCAGGAGTCAGAGCTGTAAGAGGAAGGGCCAAGCTATAAGAGGTCAGGCACAGCTGACCCCCAGCAGAACAGGAACATTTTCCTTGGGAGAAGTGACCAGTACTCTGAATGATGGGGCTCCATTGCCATGGGACACAATTCTCAGCTTAGTCAAACTCCAAAGCCACTTACCTCATCAATCCCATCACATCCCAGACTCCATCCTTCAAAATCCTGCCCACTGGGGTGTTTCCCCACGTCTTTAACACACAGCTCAGACCTACAGGCAAATCAGACTCTCCTGACTCAGTGTGCCATGGCTGCTCTTCTCAACCCCCTCCAGTTACACTGCACACTGCAAACACCATATCTGGGGCTGAACATGACAGGTCAAGACCAACCACCCCAGGGCTGTTCTGGAGATGAACATAATGACCTTCCAAAGGCTAGGTCATTTTTTTCTGACCCTCTCCTCTTTAATTCCTTGCTTGCTGTGAACGAGTAAAAGCAAGATCTCCACGAAGCTCTACACCAGATGCTTTGTGGCTGTATCACTCTGCTGCTCATTCATGTGCAGAACCAGCAGCTCATCAGGTGGATGGTGCCTGGTGAGGGCCCACCCCGCCAGACTGCAAGAAGGAGCTTGAGCCCCTTCCCTGAGCCATATGAAATTGCATCAGGCACCTGGCACAGCCTGTTGCCAGTATCACTCCACCTGCCCCAGTCAGCGACACCCAGCCAGGGCAGACTCCAGAACAGAGGGGTCAATCTGCCCAGCTGCTTGAAACAGCCACCTATTGCAAACCGTCCTTTTCTTCCTCCTCCTCCTCCTCACACTCTCTAAATCAAACATGCTGGCCACAATAAACCTTGGAGCACCTGCTTTTCAAACCCTGCTGCACAGCCACCCCTCTCCAACAGACTCTTGGTTCTCAGGACAATGAAGCGGTCCTGAAAGCCGACAGCACGGATCCCGCAGTGGGGTCACTCCCAGCATCTCCCCCCATTATTTTGTTACTTTCTGCTCCTTGATCCAGCATCACACAGTTCTGAGGCACATCGCCAAATGCCTTAATTCTGTCTGTAATCTGGGCTAAAGCCCTCGTCGGGGGATAAAGACCACACAAAAGGAGAAATAGAGTCCTGGGAGATGTTAAAACAAGTAAACACCTTTGTGTCAGGAGAGAGAAATCGCTGATAAAGCAGATTAGCGCCTCGAGCCCTGGTGTCCCCAGATCAGAAGGCGAGCCCTGGCCGATCTTTGCAGCCAGCACGCTTCTATGATCACAGAGCTGGCGGCATGCTGGGGCCAGCCTGTTTCCCCACAGTCACTCTCCAAAGAGCAGATTATGTAGAATAACAATTTCTTTGTGGCAGTGTAATTCCCTCCGTGACCGTGGCTGTGGGCAGCTACATTGGCCCTTGATGCCAGGGCCCTAGCAACCATTTACAGAGGCCAACCAGCCCTAGCGATGGCCCCCCCCTGCAAACCTCTCGGACAAGCTTTAACATCAAGTGCATGAATTAATCCCCCCCCAACATGAAACCAGGGGTGCTGGCTTATTGGACTTTGTGTTTCTCCAAGCAAGGGATCGAGGGGATTCCAAGCTTCAGCCTTTTGCAACCTTCTTACATTAACCCTTGGAAGGTTACTTGCAAACCAACCTAGTAGCAACTCTGCACCTGTGTGCAGGTCGAGAGGTTGAAGCATTCACAATCTGAACACTGGGAACAAGAGCTGCAGGGTTGGGCTGGGGCAGATGGGTCCTCAGCTCCACCATGGAGTGAGACATGGATGGGCATCTCTGAGCTCTGGCACTCCCCTGCCCCTCCAAGCACAGAGATCCTCTCCATCTGCCACTCTGCAAAGCCAGCAGGACAGATGGACATGAACACAACCCTTCTCAAGGCTTCTACAAAGCCTTCTTCATCCTATGAGTTATAGGTGTAGCCCAGAGCTGTAAGACATACAACAGAGATATGAGGAGAAGTCAGCTGATCTCCCAAACAAGAATCCTTGGACTGCCTGTGAGATGCATAAGGGGCCAACCTGCAGAGTCCTCTGTCCGGTGCTCAGGCAGGAGCAGGGAGATACTCACGGGAGATGAGCTATCTCAGCAAGCCCTAGGCAGCACCAGCAGCTTGGACCCCTCTTTCCCCACTTCCACATGCTACTGCTTTTTTATTTGGTTTCATAAGGTAGCCCCTGGACTGGTACTCTGAGTATGTGGCACTTCAGGAGAAGAAACCAGGACAGACAGCTGCATATGTGCCACACAGCCCTGCAGCACATCTGGTGAATATCTCTCTCCTGCTGGCTAGCTGAAGCCTGTTTGTGCTATTTCCCTCTCCACCCTTTCCCCTGCTAATACACCTTTAACGTGTAAAGGACTAACTGAGCTCAGGGAGAGAGGAGCACTGTGCTGAGGAAAGGCAGCAGGATGCAGAAGTACATCCAGGGATTTTTTACTCACTGGGACCAGCCTTCTTCCTCAGGTGCTTGAAATGGGTCACAGCAGATCTCCTCACAACCTCTCACCTCTAAACAAGCAGCCATCACACCCAGAGCGAGCCTGGTCACACTAAAGCTTGTCTTCCATCTCCATACCAGACCTCAGTCTGCAGTGCTGCAAGATGGTAGCAATTTTTAATGGCAGCCTGGTGATGTCTCCAAGTGAAAAATTTCAGCGTGAAAGGGACAGGAGAAACCAGAGAGACTGGATTCCTGCCTTCAGAGCTTCCTATGCAGCACTGAACACCACCCAGCTGCCTCACTCCCCATGTTTCTCCATGCCATCACACCTCACTGAAGTGGTACCCAAGTATCCCAGCAGAGTCACACCTGTTTTCCTCCCTCCACTTCCCTTTCCAGCCTAGGCAATAAAAAGAAAGGGAAAAAAAAAAAAAAAAAAGGAAAAAAAATATTAGCTGTTCTCTGTAGGCAGGAAAGGAGCACAGATATTTGCAAGTTACTGCAGCAAAGCAAACCTTGCTTTGCTGGTATGTTAATCAGTTCAATTCTCCTGCCCCAAGAACCGATCAGCCAAAGCAGCTTTCAACTGGGAGGGTCCAGCCCCTGCAGACAGCAGAGTCCTTGAGCAGTTTACACAAACAACGCATTAGTTGCTACAGTGAAGCACTTAATAATCTGACACCAGGGGAAAAATCATACTGTGCTGTACACCAGACACACAAACCAGAAGAGTGTTCTAGCATGGGCACTTGAACTGATAAAAATGCAGAAAACAATATTTCCCACATTTTTCAGCAGATTAAGGAGTCTCTGGACCAGCTACCACCATGCCAGGCTACCTCCACGTCCCTGCAGCATATGCCATGCTGAACCCATGCTGGGAAGAGAACTCTCCGCCACCACAACTCTCCCAGCCTTGGGATCACAAGTTAGTGCCCACAAATTGTCCAGTCTTTATTATCCCAAATACTCCCTGCCTTCAAACCCCAGTCCCCAACAGCTTTCACTTCCTAGGGAGCAAAACTCACAGCAGAACCCACAGCTAATCCTTAATAACCCATAAAGGATCAAGATAATCCATCAAGGAGCAACAGAAAAGTAGCAGATATACCAACACATTAACGATGGTTTTCCAACAGCTTACATGGGCAGAAGATATCTTAGTGAGGGACAGAAAGAGACATGATACCTTGAACTTTGAACCTTGCTTCTCACCAGCTTGCAGAGATCACCAGCAGCATTCAAATGCAGCTGGGAGCAGCCTTCTTTCATTGTGGGCCCTTTTTTACCCTCTGCATCCAAACCCCTTCCAAAAACCAGGTAGCTGATCCTCAGAGCTTCAGAGGCCAGGGTGCCCTGTCCTTGCTATGCACTACAAAGGTTAGTCACAAAGTCACTGCGAAGCCCAAGCAAGACCAAGCATGGAAGGTCCACACCACCTCCCCACCATGCCCTAGTCCTCCAGCAATAGCAAGTAGAGGCTGTTCCACTCCCAGGCCTCCTGTGGGCAAGCCAGGTAGTTAGCTGTGCAGATGGTGGTAGTTTTGCCATGTTTTCTGTACTGAGCAGCCTGGGCCAGATAGTGCCAGGGTTCAGTCCCAGTGCTGGGTGGCATCAACAGAAACATCTCTTCATCAGTGGAGCTCTGCGGAGCAGAATCACAAATGTGACAGTCCAGGTTTCCTGGAAAGACCAGTCTAGAGCCAGAGCTTTCAGCTTCAGCACCTGAACCACAAACCACTGAGGCCAATGCAGCACCTGCAGACACACAGGTAGGCCCGAGCAGGAAACTCACAGATATTCCTAGTTTCTCCTACTTTCTCTTAAAGCATCTAGACAGACTGAAATCATGTTGGCAGTAATCCAGTACCAGCCCACAAGGAACAGAGCCAGAGCAAACCCAGCAGCCCATTTTGTCCCTAGCACAGGAAAGCACCAGGCTCTGGACCCCTTGCTGATAGAACAAGTTGTTTAAACAAAGCCTCTGTGCCTGGGGAATGTATCAAACTGATGAGTCCAAAAATGAAAGGCATTTTGTTCAGGCACTATAGAGAATCTTTTGATTCATCTCCATCAATCCACGCATTCTTCAGAAAACAAGACTTTTAAAAATCACTTTTAAAATATGCTATTTGGGATTTCCATGTTTCACTCTTTTCTTTCCATGCTGGAAATTTAGCCATGAGCATAGCTATCGTGATACCTCCAGAAGACAGGAACTGTCTAGCCTGGAGGAAGCAAAGTGACCTACCAAGGAATGGCAGAAACAAGCTGTTTTCTCTGGATTCTTTTACCTTTTAAAAACAGCTTAAGGCTGTATTCCTCCTCACCCCAGTAATATCAAGACAATAAG